GGCCGCTCTCCTGGCACCTTCCTGAGCTCTCGCCCAGCCCCCCCGCCCGCCCTGCGCCTGGGAGGCAGGGGCCAGGCAGGTGCAGGGAAATCAGAACCTCTGGGTTCAAGTTCTGGCTCCAGCACTGCCCGCCTGCGCCAGCCTCGCCCTCACTCCTCAGGCGGGAGGGATGGGCAGAGTCCGGCTGGAAGCCAGGGGCTGGCACTCCCGGGGCGGAACGCCATCTTCCCCCACAGCGCCCCGGACTCGAGGAGTTAACAAATGCCCCGGAAGCCGGTGCATCCTCAGCTAACACCAGGCTGAGCTCGCAGAGCTGGGCCCACCCCACCACCGCCCGGCTCCCCGGGAAGCAGCGCCGCTCCCACCAGCCGTCCGCCTACCGTAGACGGGGGTCTTGCCCGGCAGGATGACCACCACCAGCTGCAGGCCCGTGTACGTGTTCTTCAGGTGCCGGAACATGGGCTCCACGCTGTCAGCGCCCTGGGCGTACTTGCAGAAGCACGGCTGGCCCTGGATGGGCATCCCCGCGTCCCTGGAGATCTTTCTGAGCTGCTCCGTGAAGGACCTGGAGGAGGGGGCATGTCAGGCCAGGAACCCCGTGTGCTGGAGTCCGGACCCAACCCAACCCGTGCCTGGGGGTCGGGGTCGGAGCCGCCGCCCTGGACAGAGCTGGCCCACATGTTCACACGTGGAAAAGGGTGCAATGCTAAGCACCCACGGGCCGCTGAGGAGTCACCCCAGCTGTTCTGCTCCAATAAACCGAAGACGCCCAACAGGCCCCACACGTGGATGACATCATCGTGGAAAAAGCAGGACGGCGAAGCTGGAGTCACACCTGCGGGCTGAGGCGCCGCAGCGGGCACACACGCGGGCTCTATTCTAAGCTCTGGAGCAAAAACAACGGCGCCTTCGACAGAGAGGCTGAGGACACGGGTCCAGCCCAGCCGGTCGGTGTCGACAAAGGAACACGTTAGTGTCTGCATTTAGCGTCCACGTGCACTGACCGCGGGGCCACCTGGCTCCAGGCAAAGCGGAAGGAAGGGGCCAGGACAGACCCCGGGGACGGCCCGGCCCAGACGTGGGCCCCAGCTCGACTCTGAGGGCTCTCGGGCGGCCAGCTGGCCCTGGGCGTGGGGGCCGACAGCAGCCTCCCCCACAGCCCCTCCCCCCACGGCAGCTCCCTCTGCAGAAATGTTCTTGGCTACACTCCCCGGCCTTGGTCTTGTCGCTCCCGCTTCCACCCGAGGGAGGAGGAGGCTCCGCCGTGCGGGACGCTGCGGCTCCCGGCGCTGCTTTCAAAGGCTGTGCATTGCTGGCCCCGCGTCGCCCAGCTCCCTGGAGGGGCAATCCCGGCTGGGCCGTTGGGCACACTCCCTGCCCAGGACAGTTGCCCAGACGACTTTCACTCCGCCCCTTCCAGGGAATAAGGCCCCTCTGACCATCCCGGCCTCCTTTTGGCTTCATTTTCTCCGTCTCCCTCCGCACGGACTATGTAGCTAATGTTCACTGAGTCCGCTTCTCTCGCCTCCCTTTCTTTCTTTTTTTAAAATATATTTTATTGATTTTTTACAGAGAGGAAGGGAGAAGGATAGAGAACTTTAAACATCCATGAGAGAGAAACATCGATCAGTTGCCTCCTGCACACCCCCCACTGGGGATGTGCCTGCAACCAAGGTACATGCCCTTGACCGGAATCGAACCAGGGGCCCTTCAGTCCGCAGGCCGACGCTCTATCCACTGAGCCAAACCAGTCAGGGCTCTCGCCTCCTTTTTTACACTCACTCCCGTTTGCTGTTCTCTCGTCTCATCCGTGCTGCCTTTCCCTCTGCTCGGACGATGGCTCCGAGCAGCTGTGGGGAGGGGCCCACACTGCACGGCCTGTCCCTGCGCGGCTGCGGCTCTGAGACCGGGAGAGCCCCCCCACCCCGTCCCTCCGCCCGAGCCCGCACGGCCGCTGGCGCCTTACTTGAGGTGGACCTCGGTGCACTGGCGCTGGGGTGCGAAGCAGGCGATGGCCCACACCTTGATCTCAATGCCCGTGTGAAACTGCTTGTTCCTCATGTCCCAGACGCCCTGCACAGGCGTGGCAATCGCTTTATTCTGCAAATGGCAAGACGGGCAGAGTGAGAGCAATGGGAACGCAGTCCTCCACCCTGGGGTTTTGTCACTGTCCCCGACCAGACGGTGGCTCCTGAGACTCAGAACAGAATCTCTGCGTCGCCCACCTCGAGCTGCCCAGCACTGCAGGGGTCCAGGCGGCTGCGGGGGGCGGGCGGGGGGACAGGACGGATGGATGGACAGAGGGGGACGGAGGATGGCTGAGTGGATGGATAGGTGGTGGGTGAATGGGTGGATAGATGAAGGCATGAAGAGGTGAATGGAGGATGGTGGCGGAGTAGACGGGGACACTATGCAACTCACGTCACATATACATGCAACGATCTCCAAGACTTCTATGGGCTAAGAAACACTAAGTAAAAAATAAAGCAAGGTGCAGAAGTGCATTTAATACGCCATCTGCAGCCCGGCCGGTGTGGCTCAGTGTTGACCTATGAACCAGGAGGTCACAGCTGGATTCCCAGTCGGGGCATATGCCCAGGTTGAGGGCTCAATCCCCTCAGTGTGGGGCGTGCGGGAGGCAGCCAATCAATGGTTCTCTCTCCTCATTGATGTTTCTCCCTCTTCCTTCCTCTGAAATCAATTAAAATAAAATAGAATAATATGCCTTCTGCACAAGAGGGGTGAAAACCCTGCGGCCCATCCCTGGGCGGCTCGCAGAGGAGAAAACACCAGTGGCTT